AAAAATTTAGTAATTTTGAAACCAATAGTGTTTTCATTTTTAATCTAAATGAGCTCCCAAAATAATTTCCACTGATCCGTCCGATATTTCAACGATACCAGTAAGATCTCTGACTGTTAATCGTCGAACCTCAGACACCAATTCCTTTATTTTATTGACGTGTTGATCATCAGTTAATGTTGATGGCCGTTATGGATGTTCTGGTTCGTCGTCAACGCGTTCTCGACTCTCTTTGAATAATTTGTACCAATCAAAAGCACTTGCTTGGTACAAACAATTATCACCGAAGACCTTGTCCACCATTTTGAAAGTTTCGGCACCTGAACTTTGATTCCGAACACAAAATTTAATGGAACTTCTTTGTTGGAAAGTAACCGAACCTAATCAAAAATGATGCAACTTGACAACCGTTGGGAAAGCTTTCAAGAAAAAGTTTCGAAATCCCAATGAAGCCTTCAAAAATTTCATTTAAATTTGAAAAAGAGCAAAATTTCTTAAGATTCGGCGCTAGAAATGTATAGACGGAAGATTGAACTCAAAACGGTATTATTTTGATATAGTACATACAGTTTGTCAAGTAATTCTTTGCAAAATGGAAAACGTCATTGAAATAAACTTTCAAGTTTATTTTTCTTTAGAAAAAATGGATTTATTTCAGTTTTTTCTTTTAAATTATAATAAGAGAGATTATTAGCTACAATATGGATTAAAAAAAAACATTTTTCAGCATAAAACATAACAAGAAATCAACAAAAACAAAAAGTATGCAAATCTTAGGCTGTCAATTAATTCTTTGCAAAATGCAAACAGAAGCTAAAGTGAGACACAAAACAAAGCAACGGTAAATCAAATTCCAGAAAAATCATGACGTGCGTCTGGAATATATTCTTAAGTCTCGTTTTATTACGGTTTTGGTTTTAACAAGTGCACAAGTGTTCGTAATACGGTATTAAAACAATGCCTGGTAAAAGAGTTGGTGAGAATGTAATACAGTTGGTTTATTACAACTATTATAAGGGTAAATCGGCAAAAGAATTAGCTGATATGTTTAATATTAAATTAAGGACAGTGTATAATATCATAAATCGAGCAGAAAAAGAAAATCGGCTGCATTTAAACAATTCTGGAGG